ACACATAGATCATGATGTCCGACCTGCATGTGGGTTCAAGTCACCACTGCTGGCTTTTCTAGGCTCACTCTCCCAGCTCCTAAAAGAGTCATTCTGTGGTTTGGCAATTAAGTCTATGTTAACGATGCCGACCCAGACGCCCACACAGACAACTAGCCAGATTCCCCATACAGAAGCAGATACAGATACAGATATGAACCACATTCGTTTCGGTGTGGAAAAATACGTTGGCAGCAATAATTAATTAGATACACAATAAATTACTCATATGCCAGTGGCAGCCCACAAGAGAGGAGAGACAGAACGAGTCTATTTTTTCACAAAGGCTGGAAATGATGGAACATGTAGGAGTCGCAGAACTTGGAAACAACTTATGTAGAATTTTCAACCTTTGGGTATTCCACCCAGGTTATTCATGGCAGACACTCACAGGAGTAATCAAGCAATGCCAGGGCTTCAAGATGGTAATTTGTTTAAGTAGACGGAGAAAAATATCCTTAACCAAAATATTATTAGATTATCTTTGAGTTTTTACATAGCAAAGACTCAAGAATTGGAAAATCAAAATAGTTAGGAAATTGTTTTTAGTTTTTGCATGAATAGCTTCAGATTTTGTCACCAAAATTTATTTTGAAACCTTTTTGAGTTGAAATTCAATCCGTAATTCTCCATGTGTAGTAAAAAGACACAGAAGTAAATAAAAAAATAGAAATGAATTGAGGCAACAGCTCAGAAATCACAGTGCAAAGAAAAGAACGAAGGACGAAATAAAAACGGGCACAGATTGCATGAGTTGGGAAAATGCGAGTAGGACAACAGAGAGCAAGGCAACGGCAACAAGAACTATAATTTCCTAAAGGACTTAATTATTTTATAATAAGCACATGACGCCAAAGAGGGGAGAGGTGCAGACGTATTAGCACGACTGCAGGACGACGGCGGAAAGGACGAGAGGATGCCTCAGAAATGCAGCGCAAAGTTGCAAAAGTTTTTCTCCACTCGACAATCGGTCAAAGGAATGGAAAGAGGTAAATCGCCGGTGGGGCGGTGAAAACCTCAAGCATAAATAGTGAAAATATAACAGATTGTTGTTTTCTTTCTGCACGCTTTTCCAGCAAGTCTGCAGCTTTGCTTTTTTAAATGAGTTTATGGCTGAGTGAATCTGAGCAATTAATATTGATTTGCAAAAGTTGTTGCGGCTCTTTAGTCAGCTTTTGGTTACGGTTATGGTTTTTGGTCAGGGCCAAGACTGAACCAGGCAAGCGAAAAAGGGAATAAAATAAACAAGTCCCGAATAAGGACTCTTAGATAAACAGCGAAGTAACGGAAACCCCGAATAACACAAAGCCTTGCCAAAAGGAAATTCACGTTTAAATAGCTCCCCTTCAGTCTATTAGCTGCAAATTAAAGTTGGCTTTGTCTTATTTAATTAGCACTCCAGAGCCAGATCTCGATTAAAGCCCTATTTGCATAAACTTCAATCTCCCGTCGCTGAGGCGACGAAATTTCCATTCTAGGGCACTTGCCATAACATTAAGCCTGCATAAATTCGCATTACGCATACGCCCAGTGTGCCAGCGCCCTGCGGCAAACACGGACAAACATTTAAACACTTCAAAAACAATATAAATTCATTCAGAGCACGGTAGGCCATATCCCCACTATAACCATAAGCAATAAAACACACAGACATCGGATAGGCCAGGCCAACAATGCCGACAACAATGCCAACAACAATGCATAAATAAAGACCAATGCCAAACAATTGATACTTTGGCCGAAGGAACAGAGCGAACGGCCATTGAACAATTTGTACGAATTTATATGTGGTGATGGGTGGTGGAGGCGGGCGAGGAGGATTTTGGCCCAGACAACGCACAGCTAAACATTGAAACAAACATGCCGAAATATCCGGGGGAGTTGGAGAGGCTATCGCTAGTCAGTGCTGTCACCAATCTATCGCATTTAGCAAGACAAAGTGTTGGATTTCGCAAAAAATAAAAACAAACTTGAAACACTTTTCTATTTTCTTTTAAAAATTCAAAAATTGTTATGTATATTTAACTCTTAAAATTGATTTTATTTAGGAGGCTTATATAATACATTTTCTTAGATATTGTTCTAAAAAGTTATTTCACATCTCTGCTATTGTTCTTATATTTGTACCTTTAAACAATTTCAGAATGGAAAACTGGTCATCACTGTGACCAGCATCATAATATATCCAGTTTTAGGCCCAGTTCCAAGCCCAACCTCAGCAAATTCATTTGAATTGCAAAACAAACACGAGAGCGTTGACGACACTGGGCTATACTACTATATAAATATATATATATATATATATACATATATAGCTGTTGGACGGGAGTCCAGCTAAACGAGCTTAATCATGTTGTAAATTTGCATAATTTGACGTGAATGTGTGCGACTCGTAAGGAGCATCGATGTCCCAGAGAAGACAGCCAGATATACTCTTATAATGCACCTTTCTCTAAATGTCTTGAAATTCCGAGCCCCACAAAATACTATTTTCTTACTAAAAGAAAGGCCTATGAAATTAATCTAGTGTCTGTGCGTAAATTGAAATTTAATTGTCTGGGAAACCATTATAGGCCCAAAATAATGTGCACTAATATTTGGAAATACAACCACTATCATATTTGGTAATGGTGTTTCTAATGGTGAAATAATTTTTAAAACTATGAAAACTTGGCCTAAGAACGTGTACCTGGTGAGACTTAGGCACAATATGAGAATATTTGAAGCCACTATTATTGCTTTTCAGATATGTGATAGTGACGGAACCATTCTTACTTTTAAGCTATTCGGCTAGCGCATTTCTTCGAGAGCAAAGGTCTAAACCATAGGGACTTTATTGACATTGCAACCAAACAGTTACCCAACCTGATGGCAAAATGGAACACCTTTCCGAACACCCAATCCGGTACTGGATGAAGGTATATAAGGTAGGTATAAGGTATATGTATAACTCCAGCTAAAAAATTAAATTTATATAATACCGATCAAAAAGCAAGTTTGTTCGACGACTAAGCCCACCGTGATTTTCTGGGATGACAATGTGTATGAGAAAGTTCGTGACGCCACCAAAGATTGGAATGCAGAGATATTTATTTTTACCGGAACCCCTTTTAGATCAAAGAGACTGAAAGGTTTTACCACTGAGTTGATCAGAAATTACAGTGGAAAATAAATGAGGCGGGAGGCGAACAAACCGTGGCTTATCCAAAACAACCGGAAATCTGTCCGCATTTCTAACACAAGGCTAATAGTAAAACCGATGCTAAGAAGCGAGGCGGTGATGTTAGGCATGGGTAGACTTAGCTGAATCTCTGCCTGATGGGCACTTGTCGTCAGCACACTTCTTTTGGGCTACTTTGATGTCCAGAATCTTCTTCATATTGTCGACCGTTGCAAAAATACTCTTATACTCGATAACTAATTGCATACTGTCCGGAGAGGTTGAAAATGTGATATCAGAGTTAGAGGAAGTGCAGGCAGTGTGTGTCGTGGGCATCTACAATAAACTGAATGGCGAAGGTGCTGGACCCTTGATTGTCCAGTTGGACATATAAGTGCCATAAGTGCCAGGGAGATTGTGGATCATGTGGCTAAGCGACTGTCCAAAGTTCCAGGAGTCCAATTCGTCGAGGAACTCTAAGTTAATCTAAATGGAAAACCGTGAGCAAGATGGCGTGCAATATATTTATTGATACGAAAACTGAATGAGTCGTAAATTGTGATTAAAATCTGTTGTCTTAAACTATTAAGTAGACTTTAATTTATTTTGTTAGATGTTGTGATTAGTGGAAAATCCAAATGGTTTAAATCGACCCCATAGACTTTTTACTTAATATACAAAGCAGAGTTTAAATGGCAAAACAGATATAGCATGTCGAAACACAAATAGTTATAGAGTAACAAAAAACTTCCAGGATATCATTGGATACTTTTACTTTATCTTTTAATTGTGGTAATTAGCCGAGCTTGAAACAGCTTTAGCTTTTCCCTGTTGACACTTCTTATAAATAACAGATTTAAGCAAGTTGGATTAGCAACTTTTTCCGCACTTGCACGGACTTGCAGTCGTGCCATTCCATTGCACAATCTCATTCCAAACTGTCATATAAATGTGATTATATCGACCCACCGAGTCCTCGCCGTCATGCCCTTTTTTCGCAGTCGTGTCTGTCAGACATTATGACAACTTAATTGAAGGTTATGCGTGACCACAGTCCGATGGCAGGACATGGGTGGTCACCGACACAAAGCTTAATGCAGGACACTGATCACGCATCCAATTGCATCAAATGTGATTACGCAATTAGATGGCCAGTTTACTGTAACAATTTGCTATGTTAGACTTTTAATAAGAAGTTACAGACCGGGAAATGACTGATTCTAAGGATTAAAAAAACGCATTCTACTTAGATGTCTTTCAATTTCAAGGAGCAGCTATTAACACAGGATTTTCCTCATTATAAATTGATAGAAAAATCACCCTACCCCTGCAGACCTTATGATTTGTCATGGAAATTGTTGTGCTCCCCACGAAAGCTTTACTTCTTGCTGGCTAAATGAATTCCCCTTTTGCGAAACTAACAGTTTTCCGCCCCTTAAAAGCTTGTCAGTTAATAGAAAACAAGTGACACCGCCTCCAGCCAGCTTCATAATTAAGTCTAAATGAACAGCGAGCTCGATGCAGGAAGCCCACACAAGGACCCCAACCAAGAAACTGGCCAAAATGAGCGGAATGGTGGAATGGTGGCTGGGCGGAGTCCAGTTGAGTACATGCAAGTGTTTGCAGTTTAATGGAATTTTTAATTTCTGACCCGCGCTGGAGCTTCTGCGCTGGGAATAGCTGACATTATTACAAATTTTTTACTATTATTAAAAATGCAGAAAACATTAAAAGCGACACAAATTTGTAGCCGAAAGTCGTGCCAGGGCAGCTGGAACTGCAGAGGGGGCAAGATGATTACTTAAGTGGACATGGCCCCCAACCTCCGTTGAAAGTCCGGTAGCCAGTGCAGAAAGAGTTCCACTAGAAAGGCCAAGGCACTGGCCATCATGGCCAGTACTAAGGCAAAAAGTGCCGGGGCAAAGTGCTCCAAATCTACTTCGACTTGCGATGCCTTAAACAGGCTGCAATCCGGACGAGTCACCATCCACTTCTTGTCGTTATATTGCATTAGGCCGCTAGCTCGAAGGTGGAGCAGGGCATGGGCCAGGTGCTCCCTCCATGGCGAACCCTTGGGCATTACAGATCCTGAGTCATACGGAGGATTGAACATGATTTCCTGCAGCTCACAAAACTCTCCCTCATCCATCTGAAGATCTAGGAGCAACCTATAGATACGATCGATAGCCGTATGGAAGGCAAAGCGTCCTTGAATTATCCTCTCAGCCCCTTGCTGTAAGGTTAGGATATTGTGCTCCCCAGATCTGCAGATTTTTTAACATACACATCCTTTACCAACTTATTACTTGTGTTGGTGAATATCGGAAAGTTGTAGGATATGTTTTCCATCCCGATAGCCAGGTTACTATCGTATAGTTCCTGCAGACTCACGATGCTCCTCGAACTTTCAGAGAGCAGGGAACCCACTATAAAGGCGCCGTAGAACTGCATCAACATGAAACTGAATATACAACTAAGGCTGATCAGTAATCGAGTTGAAAACAAGCGAAAGATCTCAGTGGCGGGCCCCTGTTGCAGATAGGTTTCCAGCATTGTGAACCAAACGAATGACGAGCGATTCTCCATATGGGTTAGTCGTCTCTCCTGCCTCACATGCAGCAGCAAAAGGAGAGTACTTCCAGTGACCAAAACCAGGACACACCACCACACCTGGTTGCTTAACGGCTCGAAGAATATGTTCCTGATATGACTGCGACGTGGATGGCGGAAGATAAAGTGGATGCTGTGGGTAGGAGAAACCTTCCTGAGATTCAATCCAAGTCAAGTTCACTGTGATTTACTCACTATTGGGTGTGCAGGACCGCTGAATACTGGACATAGGGCTGTCTGTCCAGCACAAAGCGGACGGGACACACGGCAAAGTCCGCCGCGCGACTCGTCACCTGACCCATCACTCCGGACCAACTGCCATTCTCCAGCAACTCGCCCCACTTATCCGTGAATCTGATGGCCAAGCTGCACGAGAAAATATATGTATGATTATGCAAAAGTTTGTAAATTTATTGTAATTTAGGTGACAATAATATTTCCCTAATGTTGTGCTATATCCTTAAACTATATAAAAGAATATTTGAAAGAGGGTTTTCCGTGCTAAACGTATTTTTGAACCCATTCTTTCTTTCGAGTGAATAGTGGTTAATTAGGGCCTACTCCGATGCTAGTTTCACGGACCCACCTGAGATTGAACATGCGCTCAACGAGTTGAAACAACTGATAGGTCTTCCGCTGCATGGGATCCAATTGCTGGAGCTGCTTATCGTCCGCCAGGTACTCCATGTCATCCAATCCAGGAGGTTTCTCTGTCAACTAGGGGGAATGGTTGTTAAGTGAAAGTAGAGTAGTGTTTGGAACAAGGACGAATCCTACCCACCACAGTACTGCCTAAGAGAGTGACATTGAGGAAGTTGCGCCGCCGAATGACCCAAGTGTTCTTATACTTCTCCAAGAGTTGGTAACCTCCAGAAGAAGACCATTCTCCCTTCTTTTCAATTATCAGAGGAGTTTGCACCTTCTGACTGATCCTATATACATCATAAGCCAGCCAAGTTGTACTGGAAATATTATTTTAAGTTCATAATAAGCTAGTTACCAGTCCAAATAATCACATATTTATATATTGAATTAAATTAAATTATTTTTACTATAGTGGCAAAGTGCTTTAACATTAACTACTCTGCCTTACTTATCTTGACCCCTCAAGGCCACAGTGATATCCGCATCAATGCCCATGCTGTAGCCACTCAAGTGCTGCTCAATCAGCTGCTCATCTGGCAGAGATTCCCGGCAAGAACCGAGCATAAACCACGCCAGCGAGTTGTTAAAGTATCCGGCCTCAGAGGCCACCCCGAGCACGAAGCGCCTCACAAGGACATGCTCGAAATTCAGCACCAGGGCTGCGATGCGCGGAGACCCGTAGAACATGAGATCCTCGAAATTCGCCGACATTCCTGGCCGGTAAAATTGCACACGATAGTTGGCCAACAATTTCTGGTGGCATTCAATTTGCCAGTCGCCATCTGCATCACCGCCTCGGACCACGAGAACCTGGCTCAAGTGCTCCGAACGCAAAAAGTCCTCGAAGGCTGCCAGCTCAAGGAAATTGGTATTTATGCTTTCAATTTGCAGCACGCGTAAAAATGCTGTTAAAATTATAAAAGGCCAAGAAATAACTTTCACTTGCAACTTAATCATTTTATATGGCCACTTTAGCACCGACTTTTACCCCGTGGAACTTGTGTTTGCTTTGTGCGAAGCCTCTGCCGTTTTTATAGGGTTTCATTTTCCTCTGCATGTGCATAATTTATTCACATTAATCACATTGGTGTTCTGGGCTCATGCACATTGTACAACTGACAAGAAAATTATTGTGAGGATGCCATAATGCGGTGATTACTTTAAAAGGAATGTTAGTGTAGTTTGTAGTGTGCGAATGTGGCAAGAAATAATTAAGAGTAATTAAAGTAGATGTCTAGAACAAGATGTTTTCTGATTTATATGCAACTTAAATATAAATAAGATATTTTAAATATAATGGAGACTGTTCTTCAAAGATTAATCCGACTGTATAACAGAGAAAAAAGAATTTTAAGTCTTGCAAACTAATAAGGTTAGCCCGACAATCCCCTTCTTTTATGCAAAGTTTTAAATGGTGTTCCTTACCAAATTAGCGGGCATTGTCCGGACGCCGTCGCCACATCGATCACAGCTCCATCGACTCTATAATGGCCCCATTTCGAGTTGCACCTAACAAAAAGTGGGCTCCTGCCATCATATACCAAAAATCCAATAACTAGACGCAACATTAAGCAGGACAAAGCTGGTGGCATTAGCGTGACATTATCCGACTGCAGCCAAGAAGCTACGAGAAACGACAAAAACGCGTGTTAGCATCCACGAAAACGGAGCCAAGGACCTTAGCGTGTGTCCCCAGAGAAGGGTCTTGGAATGGAATGGATTGTGGAGTTGGGGGTTGGGGCAGTGAGGCAGTGTGGCAGTGTGGCATGGCACAGAAAATGTTGCGAAACTTGAAAGCAAATCCTGCAGCTTGCAACTTAATTTCATGGCACGCGGCATGCAACTCGCAGGCAACTTCATTCGGGCAATTTGCTTCACGACAGCTTGCCACGTGCCAAAAATAGGGAAGGGCGGAGATAAGATGGCCGAAATGGAGGCGAGATAGAGTCCTGCAAGGACTTTAAGACTGTTCCGAAATTAAAAGGAATTACATTCAATTTGTTGACATTTTTGCGGATGCTCGCGGACGCGGATGCATCCCCCTTTTGTCTTTTGGTATCCTTTTGTGTGCTGCTTAGCTGACTTTCGCCGGTAATGACAAAAAACATTTTGTGCAAGGCCACATGCAAATGAGCAGCAGCAGCAGCAGCAGCAGCAGAAAAACTGAAAACTGAAACAGCGGCAGGAAGAGCAAGGCCATTCAAATGTATTCATTGCGAGCAGGGGAAATTCGCTGGCATTTTATCGCAAGATTTCCATCGAATACGCGAGTTGCCTGCCAAAAAAGACAAAATCTCGAGAGCACGGAAAATGCTGTCTTCACACATGCGGGGAATGACAAAAACAAGTGCGCATACGCCCTGTTGCAAGCCAGCGAAACGTTTAAAAATTCCTTCTTTTTAAATTTGCTGCTTATATGTTCCACTGTCTCCTCTGCCCTGACATTTTCTCACACATGGCAGACGTTTTCGCATTTGTAAAATGCGCCAGTCTACGTGGAAAAATTTCATTTAATATTTCATCTGAAAATATGTTGCTGTTGCTCTACAAATTCTATATTAAAGCCCGTAGGTATATTTTGGTTTAATTTCTTTACGACAGAAGCCTAAATAAACTTCATTTTTATAAGATAGTTAACAAATTAAATAGTGTTGAACAAGATAAATAAAATTATAGTCAAGTTCGGCTCTTGTAATATATTTTTCTAGAAATTTTTATGTAGTACCTTATTCACGAAAACACGCTTCCCTTTAAATTCTAAGCGTGTACTTCATATTTTTCAATTATATTAATGCCCAGTCCCATTTTATTACAAATGTGAAGGAGCAACTCAAAATAAACAAAAAAAAACATTTTAATTAATTCTGCTCTCAAACTGGGGATATTATTATTATTATTAAATGTGATTTCTTTAAAAAGAAATTTACAAATTCTTCTTTCTGCGTCTTATTTTTGTTGATAATTATTTTTACGTTTCAACTGCGGGGGATTTAATTGTAGGTAAGTATGCTGGCAACCGGAAAAACTTGTCCATGGGCCAAATAAAAGCAGCCAACAAAAAAGGAAGCGGAAAATCCCCAGCAGCCATGGGACGAAGCTCGGAATAAGTCCCTCGAAATGACGACAACAATATGCGACTCATACTTTTCGGCCTGCAGCGGTAGAATGCTGAATACCATTTGGGTAAATCCTTTAATTTCTTTAACTTTTAAATTAGGAATGTTGTTTGCCTCGATTCTTTTAATAATAAGTTGGATTTCCTATTCAAAATAATATTTTTCAAAGTTGATTTAAGTTCTTTGGAATAAAGATGGCAACAAGCTTATAGAGTTTGTTAATAATTTATGCCTTAATTTTAAAATTTTCTTGACTTTTTTATTTTTTCCGACTGAAAGTTCCTGCCATTGTTAGTTTCCACTCTTCATAGCCGTTTAATGTTGGCGCGAACAGTTTTATTTGCCAACAGCAATGGGTGAAAACTCTCCGGGCAGCTGGGACTGGGCCGCATAAAGTCAACTCATTATGAAATTACTGCTAGAAACTAAGCTCCCCGAAAAGGAAAGAAAGACGGAGACGAGGATGACTGGCAGCGGAGAAAGGCGGCAAGGAAAACAAATTAAATTTAATCGATTTGTGAAAAGCTGGCAGGCAACAACAGCAGCTACGTAGTGCAGGCTGGAAAAGTGAAGTGCCAGATCCGGATGGGTTGCATGGTAAATTAAGTGAGGGCGTGTCCGTACTCCAGACTGCGGACTGCTCTGGACTCCGGACTGCTGGTATTGGACTCAGAAGCAGAAGCAGACGGCCAACGAGTAGCACTTGCCCACTTGTCGACTCTAAGCGCATTCTAAACAAATTAAAATTCAATTAAAAAGATGAAATGCCATTTCAGAGCAGGAAAATGCACGCAAAAGTGAAGATCTTCGCCACATTTTCTAGCTGACTTACAAGGTCTCTGGGATATGTAGTAAATTTCATTTAATTTCCCGGCAATGCGTTAACGATTACACCGCAAAATATATCAAACTTTTCTCAGTTACATTAAAAATCGAATTTCTTTGGCATTTATTTTCTGTGTATTACTGCAATCGAGGCCATTAATGGTCCGCTCGTCACTCGAGTAGGACTTGAACATCATTTCCAATTACGAGGCCTCAATGCAGACGGCTTAGTGGCTGTCTTTCACCAAGAATGGCCGCTGATGATTTTTGGTTCTCCCCTCATCAGTGCCAGTCCCTTTGGCTGGTCAGGGTCATCGATGTGCCAGCTCTCATTACGGCCACTCCTGCGGCCTTTGGCGGGCTTAGCCGCCAACTCCCATTTGCCCGACTGTCATCCTCCGCCTCCCCCTCCTACTTCGTGGGCTGCATTAAAATCGGCGTCCCTCTCAGTTCGCGCCATTACCGATTCTCATTCCCGATTCCCCTTGTCGGATGTCCGGATATTCTTTTTGTGCGTCCCGGGTTTGTTCGATTTGGCTTAATGGCCGGGAGCATGTTGTCACTGCTGGTGCCGTAATGAATTGGGTGCGGACCGGCCTTGGTTCTTCTGGTTGGATCAGTTAGCTCAAAAATCCTTAAATCTTCCCAAGATTTTTCCCTGATTAACATATAAAGGTCTGTGAAAAACATTGGGTTTTCATGTTGCAAATGTGACCATGTAGTAATGAGGGCTTCTGTACCTTATAATTCATAATATTTCTTGAATATGACTGCGCCCCTGTATATGAAGACAACATCTTCAACTTTTCCAGTTGGTTTTTCATCAACATCAAAGGAAAAACTGTGCAAAAACATAGTTACCGTGCTTTCAAAAGTTTACAAAGTAAAATAAACATTCTTCAAGCCTTTAGAATCTGAATTACCAATCTAATCTCTAAAGTGTAATTAAAATAGAAAACAAGTTTATTTACATGTTAATCAAGTCCTTGGAAAGCGAATTTGATTATTGGGAACTTGATATAAAAACAAATTATTTTCTTTATGAAATTTATCATTTTGGTTTTTAGATGAATTAATTTTATTTTTACTAAGTTTCATTTGATTTTAAACACTACTCCTTCGTGGAAGTGGTTGTTCTTGCATTTCAGCTTACCAACGAATACAAATATTTATTAATCATTTCTCAACGGGGGTAAATTTCAAGCCAAGTGGTTGGGCAGTGGCTGCTGTATGCTGGCATATCTCCAGCTCAATGGTCCTCTCGTGGCATCGATCTGCAAATCATCTTTGCTCCAATTAAAGCCAGGTCGTTGGGTCACTTGACGCAATTAAAGGGCTTGACAATCACCGCAAGAGGTGGATTCGTCCCGGCCTCTCGGACCTGACAATAAAGGAGCTTAATTTAAAATTTAAACCCTTTTTGCTGGAGGCGGCGACCGCAACGTTTCCTGTCCCAGTACTCAGTCCCAACCCAGGATGCACTGATGAAAAAAATATTTTTTTTACTCTTCCGGCTGCGGAGGCTGGAGTAGCAGTAGCAGGAGCAGGACGAGCCGCCAGGACGACAGCAGGGCAAATAATTTTTACAAATTATACGCTCACATGCCAACTGCGAAAGGAAAGACAAACAGAAATCGAGGAGGCAAAAAATTATATAAAAAGAGCGTGGCAAAAAGGAAGAAGTCGGGCGGTATCCTTGGAGAAAAAGGCAATAACAAGTCGGTCCGATGATTGGGTCCGCTACCGGACTCCGACTCGATTGACTGCACCAATAATAACTTCAAACAATGGCTGGCCAAGTAGTTTCCCCTTTACCCGGCTATTTTTTCTTTTTTGTTCTTGCCGGTTCCGCAGTCGGCCATGTTTGTTTAATTTTTGCCACCGCTGCGCCTTGATTCCCTTTATTTTTACACTTTTTGCAGGGTAGTTATATTTTTGGTTAGAAGTCTCAGAGTGTTTTAAATGGCTCGACCTAAAAGAAAGTATTATCTTTATATTTTTTGCATTGTCTTTTCT